CCCCAAAACCCCAAAACCCCAAAACCCCAAAACCCCAAAACCCCTTCAATTGGGTGTAAAATTGAAATTTATTTTGATAATGAAATCTTTAGCGGCAAGTTTAGAGGTCCAGGATACAGAGAAGAAGCAGCACAAATCCTTGTTTAGACTGGTCCTATTGGTTATGATGAAAGCTATACCACTTCTGATTGGTAATTTTGAGCTTAAATGGTGTTTAGCTTCCCTTGGAAATGCATTTAGTTTGACAATAACAATGATTTTCTTAGCGAGAAATACTACCGATCCTTACATGTATGGAGCCATTGGTAATTTTTGGTTGACTAAGGCATAGGAATGGGAACTATGACCATGAATATGGTAATTTGAATGATCATTTTAGATTTTGAGAAGTTATTGCCATGGATTCAATAATTCTCTGATCACTCATCTCTCGCATGCTTATGGAGGTACGTGTCAATTTGGATAGTTTGGATGATATTTTGGTATAACCTTTTTCCAGCCAAGGATTACGAATTGATGGGAATAGTATTGAGCAAATCAAGGATTCTTTGGTCGATTTTAATCATACCATTCTTGTATAACCTTGTTTTCATCACTCTAGAGTACTGCTGTTCTTCACAAGGCCACTATTGCTCTTGCTACATCAGGAGGAACTGTTAGCATATCACACAGGCTACTATGTCCAGATCTGAATGGCGGGATTTGTGTTTCATTTACATTACGACATTTACAGGAAATATCTGAACTCAATGTCGAAGTTCTGGACTCATGTGCCAGTGACTTACGTCTCCCTTATTATGCACATTGGGTGGTGTTATGTTTTTATTGTTAGGCTGAAATTAGAGCTGCTAGGAGCAGCCCTAACTGTGCTGATCCAGTTCATTACTAATTTTGTGGTGATTTGGGCCCTCACGATGATTAATATCAGAAGTAAGAACTCAAACTTAGTTCCTACCTGCAAGAGCGAGGTATTTCATGACTGGGGCAAGCTCTTTCTGAGTGGATGTCCGACTTACTTTTTACAATTGATCTCTTTCTTATCCATCGAGTCAGTTGTCTTGATAACTGGGTTCCTGGAAGTAAAGATTTTGGTAGCTAATACAGCTTTGATAAATTTACTTAATATCTTGTATCTCTTTATTTATGCAGTGATGCAGAGCTCAAGTGCTCTTATTGGTAACAAGATTGGAGAAAAGGACTTTGCTGAAGGAAGAAGACTGATTATAGCTGTCATGATCTTTGGAATACTGTTTTCAATCACTATTTCACTCATTTTGGTCATGTTTTCAGATTGGATTTTCAGACTTTATGTCCAAGATTCTGATATTATTCCGGTTATGTACAAAATTATGCCAATTTTTGTGTGTACTCTAGTGTGCTATATTATGAAAGATATTAGTCAAACTGTGATTATTGGCTTAGGATTACAGAAAAAGACAGTAGCTTTTAACATTCTTAGCTTTTTACTGATAGGAGTTCCAGTCTCTATTTATGGCCTCAGATGGCCATACACAGGACCTTGGTTAGGAATCTGCTTGACTCTGTCCTTAAATTCCTGATATTACATGCTGTTAATTTTCAAAAGTGACATTATCAGAGGCTAACTCCTCGAGGCAGCATCATCACAACCCAATAATCTTTCAACATACCTCAATTCAGGTGGGGTTTTGGGGTTTTGGGGTTTTGGGG